GATTTTACTTCCAAATATTCTAATTTCAAATATTGGAACAAATCTGCCCTCTACTGGGGAAAGGATTTGAATGATGATACTGAACCTTACAATTATCCTAATCCACATAGTATGAATTACCTTAAAATACTATCCTGGAATATTAATGCTCTAGTAACACCTTAGAAAAGAAAATGAATACTTCAATTTGTAAATAAGGAAAGAAGAACACAATGTTTATTCAAGAAATACATTTGTTGATGGCAGATGTTGGTAAACTCCAGAAAGACGGGTTTGGCAGTCACAAGCAATTCTGGAACAGAATAGATATTTGTCACAGATATCTCAATATGTTAATCCTTAAAACTAGACCCCTCTAGTATGTACCTGATTTAAAAAAAACACTACAGTCCATATGCACTTGTGGATGTAGCTGTACTCAGTCAGGATAATCTTAGCTTCAAATGTACTGAGTATTCAAAAAGGTGTCAAGATTTGGATAGATTAAGCACTGGTTTCCCACTAGTGGATTGGAAGCTGCTCATAGAGCTGAGCTGAGTTCCCCATTCTCAGCCTCTGAATCAGATTTGGGGAGGGAGGCACAGTGGGAAAGTGGCTGATGGGTTACATGAAGGGAAGAACATTTGGGTTGCATTGATTTACTATGTATGAACGGGCACAAATATTTCCAAATTCTGATTGATACACATTAATTAGCACATGACAATTTACTACATGTCCATGTTGTCACTGAGCCAAATGTGCTTTTATTTCTTGTTTCTTCTGCTGCAGAGAATTTGGGTTATGTCTAGTGACTCTTCATTTCTTTTTATGCAGATTTACCTTTTGCCAAAACAAAAACAAAAACCCTACCCATGCCTGTGCAGGAGATTCAAAGTACTGCTCTTTTGATTATCAGTGTCCTGCAAAACTACAGTTAAAGGTAAATCTAGAGCACTGCTTAACTGGCCAATAAATTTCTTCCAGTTTTAGCCAAACTGTCCCTCTCTCTTACCCCACCATCAAAAATCTTTCTAAAAACAATAACTAAGGCAGCCATCACAAAAAGTAAGAGAAGTTGACTCACTATGCTCTCTTGACATTTGATATTTGAGAATTGATGCAGTATTTCCCTGAGTCCTCTTTGCGTGGACATGTATTGTACCCTTGCCTGTGGTCATTATGACTAGGCTACTGTGGATTTTGGGTGTCTTTTACTTCATTGTCTATCCATTGATGGAGTCAAAATTTAGACAACTGTCTTTGTACATATTCGCATTTGTGCAAATTCATACATTCACACTTGCATAAATCAGCCAATGTGAGATTGCTCTAAGACATATGTTTTCATGCTTAACTCTGTGTGGCAGATTTGTGCCTTTTTGCCATGTTTACCAATTTTGCTTATTTTTTATGACTACCTTTGCACTAATTTCAAAATCTGTCTGCAAACCCTGTGGGCTCTGTATGATCCGGAAAGGGCAGTCAGCTGCAGAATCTATGAGCAAGCCAAAAAAAAAAAAAAAATCCAGACAATTGCAGATTTCTCTGACATTCCTAGTTTTGCCTCCATGGAAATATTTTCTTCTGTATTTTTTCTTCTTATTGTTTTTTCCCACATGAATTAATTTCAGACATTTATTTATATGGGAGAAGCTATAGGAATGAACCATTCATGTTTCTGCCTGTCACAAAACCAGTACGCATCATGTGAGTCCAGTGCTGTCTGCTCTTTCTTTGTTTCAGTTTTCAATCCATTTATTTTTGCAGCATAACAAGTTTCATTGAGAGTGAGCCTCCACCAGAACGTGGCTATGGTTAATGGGAGATTCAGTTTGGCAGCCACAAGCAATGGGGGGGGGGGGCATCAGGTCAAGGAAGGCTAGTCTACACTGGCAGATCTTCTGGGTCACAGACAAGGGACTTCCAAGTCCTTCCTGGAGAAATCAAGTCCTGAAAGTAGGTGTTCTACTACTCAGCTATGCCCCCTTCCCATTATCTTTATACAGTTTAAGCTGCTTATCCTTGCATGGATTCTGTTTATTAGTATGATGTTTAGAATATCTGGATATGGCTTTTTCTTTCATTATTATACTAATTATTATTACAAAATTTTTAAAAAGCTGTTAGTAGAACCAAATTACACTCACCCAGTGCAACATATAAAATTATTTTGAAAGAGCATTGAGTCTTAATTCTTCTAGCAGTACAGGGGGAGAGCCCCTGTTGTAATGTACTTTCCTGTATCTGACTTGAGGGGAGCATATTTCATGAACTGGACAGTTGGGTGCTCCTTGTCTAGTAAACCTGAATATGAAATTAAGCAACTTCCCAGGAAATCTGGGTACTTTTTACCTCATCTCTGTTTCTCCACACCAGTGTCTTCAAGACCAGCTTCTTGTGGTTGCCTCGGAGGAGAAAGATTTCACAAACTTAACAGTTTTCTTTTCCTTGCCCAATCAAACTGTTGATTAAGTTTAGCAAATCCACAATGTTGGGAGGGATGATGGATCCAAGTGCTAATCCCCATCTCCATCTCTGCAATCCAAAGTCTTCAAGGCCAGCTTCTCATAAAGGCTAAACACCAACTTCATGAAGATACTTTGCAATTTGATTCTTGTGTCTGCCCAAACCATTTGAGCTGCCACATGCAGCTTTGCAAGACATTTGATGTGACTGCCTCCTTTTAAGATTTACTCAAGGGCACACAGTAAGAATTTTCCAGGCAGAAAAGTTCCAGCTTCTGCACCCCTAGCAGTTTGTGAAGGTGAGTGAATATGTCTAGTCACCATTCAGTGCCCCAAAGCAGCATAGACTTATTATGGTAGTCAGAGAAAGACACATAGCCAAATGCTTATAAGGAATCAGTTCACTTACAATATCAAGCTGCGGTCTCTGGGTGGAATGCCAGATTCCTGGTTAGGGATGCTTGAGGAATTGCTAAGTCCATATTCCAAAATAAATAAGATCACCTAGATTATTACTCACATCAGCATTAAATCAAAATTTGGTATGTAGCTATATTTCAATCCATATATTGCCGAAAGGGGTACAGATCAGGCCAGGTTTTATTGGTTCTACCCATAAAGCCTTTTAAAAATAATTTTAAATACTGCAATGAAAGATCAAGGTAAGGAAAATGTTTGGGTAGTTTTGACAGGGAAATGCTCTTCTCCCCTTCCCAGTGCCATTGCTTTGAGAGGGTGAACAATGCAGTCACATACGGCACCAAATTCTGGGTGCAGCAAACAAAACCCTGAAGGTAGTGGTGGCAGCTAAGAAAAGCAATTTGTAACCTCCTAGCCAGTGCCAGGAGCTGCATCCGCACAGCCTTCTGCTGTCAGGACTGAGCTCCGGTGCGTTCTATGACAAAAAAAGCCCTGGAGATACCTATAGAGGCAGGGGTATTTCACCCCATTTTAGGGTTAGGACTAATGCCCAGCTTAGGGTTAGGGTTAGAAAAATGACACTTCCCAGGAAGATACAAAGGGCTGCAGGGTATTCAGGAAGGGCAGGAAGAGTGAGCTGCGCAAAAATATCTCCAGCAAGTGGACAGTCTGAAAATCCCTATTGCAGCTGGTGCATTTCATCCAACTTAAAGGGTTGGGGCTAAGGCCCAGCCTAAGGATAGGGTTAGAAAAAGATGCTTCCCGGGATGGTGAAGGGGCCTTCAGAGTTCTGAGGAAGGGCATAACGAGTGAGCTGTGCAGAAATAGATCCAATAACTAGGCGTTTTGGAAATACCTAAAGAGGCAAGGGTATTTCACCCCATTTTAGGGCTAGGACTAATTGCCAGCCTAGGGTTAGGGTTAGAAAAACTGAGCTTTTTCTAGGCTGGCAATTAGCTCTAATCCTAAAATGGGGTGAAATACACCTTCCGCATTAGGTATTTCCAAAATGTCCAATTATTGAAGCTATTTCTGCACAGCTCACTCCTTAGGTCCTTCCTCAGAACTGTAAAGGCCTTCTGTCATTCCCGGGAAGCATCATTTTTCTAATGCTAACTCTAGCCTGGGCCTTAGCCCCAACCCTCTAAATTTGCTTAAATGCACCTGCTGCAATAAGGGATTTTCAGACTGTCCACTTCCGGGAGATATTTCTGTGTAGCTCAATCTTCCTGACTTCCTGAACACCATACAGCCCTTTTTATTATCCTTCGAAGCTTTGTTTTTCTAACCCAAACCCTAGGCTGGCAATTGGCAGGCAATTCTCTCTTAGCCTTGAATTGTTCAGGGAGAGACTGTATCACTGTTGCTTGGTACCAAGAAAAAAGTAGCATTCAAGGTCAACAGGAAAAAATCTCACTCAGTGCATTCTACCACTTTATTGAATTTAGTTTAATCCTTGGACAAAGGGATCCTTGAGCAAAAAAAAAAAAAAAAGCTTCCTCAGTACGAAGAGAATGTTAAATCCCTCTGTACGTTAATATGATAAGAAAAACAGGACACAAAATGTTCCGTTTCCAAGCAAAGCAAAATCAAATAATCCGAAGAAACAAAAGAAAACTGAAAGAAGGAATGTGTCTACTCTATATGCGTAAATCTATGACTGGAACAGGAGCGTCGAATACCGACAAGTCTCCCGCGCGTTGCTCAGCAACCAAGGCAGTGCAGAACCATCGAATACTTGTCTTGAGCCTCCCCGTCGGCCTGCAGCGCTTTTTACCTATGGATTTAGCTAAGAAATGGTTTTCTGAAGTCTAGGCCTCGGCGTCTCTCGTGACGTCATCGACGTGCGCCCGATGCAAAAGAGGAAGGAGAGTGGGCCTGAGGAGCCGGGAGTCTCTCCCCTTACGGGGAGGGTACGGCAGCGGCCCGGTGAGTTTGAGCAGAGAAACTGGCTGCAGACCAGATATGTGGCTCCACCTGTCACTTTTCATGTGCGGCTGAGCAGAAAATAAGAGTTCTTGAGCTGCCCCTTCGGTCCCTCCCTCTCGCTGTTTGCATCTAGGTGTCGACTGGCCCCGGGGAGGAGCCTGGAGGTAAAGCCGTAAGAAATGGGACTGGGGAGTTCCTCTTCATTGCTCGCCTCTCTCAAGATGCTGAAACTTATCCTTTTTAAGGGGTCGGAACCACAGTGACAGCTCCCATTTAGTGCTACATAGTTAAAACTATAGCTTCCCTATCTTGAAGAATAAAGGTTTTGCGTTACCGTGGGTGTGAGTGGCCAAATTGGCAATGTTATTAGGCTGGTGGTTCTTTCTACTCGCAGACACAGGCGATGATGTGCTATCTCGTGGGACTCCTCGCCCGAACTTGTATGTGTATATGCATAATGTGTATCTCTGTATCATGTTTAGAGAGTACTCCAAGGCTGTAGTTCTTATGAGTAAAGTAGCTCCTTTGGAGAGTTCACCTCTGAAAAAATATGTTTATTCCCACATTGTAGCTAGCCTGCATGAAGTATGGACACCCATTAGTCAACACAACCAGTTGCATCCGTGAGGAAGGCTAGTTCTGAAATAGATTTGTTTGCTTGCATATTTCAGGACAAATGTAGCATAGGAAATATCTAAGATGTTGTGTTACACATGCAAAATAGTGCAGCCAGGTTGCTGATGGGGACTGGGCATTACTCTCACATAACCCCAGTCCTCTACCAGCTTCACTGGCTCCCCATCGAAGTTCGAGCTCAGTTCAAGGTGCTGGTTATCACCTAGAAAGCCCTTAACGGCTTGGGACCTGGATACCTAAAGGAATGCCTGCTTCCATATTTGCCCTCCCATCCCCTGAGATTGGCAGCAGAGGCCCTTCTCCGGGAACCCTCTGTGAAAGACATTAGGAGACTAGGTACCCAGAGGAGGGCTTTCTCTGTGGTGGTGCCCCACCTATGGAATGCGTTTCCCAGAGAGGTCCACCTGGCGCCGTCGTTGTTTGTTTTTGGCACCAGGCCAAGACCTTTTTATTTAAACTATCTTAACAACTTTTAATATTATCTATTGGTTTTAAATTTACAGCCAGGGTGAATCTGGATTTTATGTGTACTATTTATATGGTTTGTTTGTTTATTGTATGGAAGCTGTCCTGAGGCTTATGCGAATGGGATGGTATACAAAAACTCCAAGTAAATAAATAAATGCAGACAGGTGTAATTTGCTATACATTACAAGCCAGTTACAGCTGGCTTTTTAGAGGTGGATAGTGGGGAGTAATTTGGGAGTCAAGTCACAGTACTTTCAGAAAAATACAGTTATTAGGATGCTAGGGGAGGGGGAGTTGTGATGGTTTGCTGTTGTTAATGTGCTGTCGTCTCCACCTTATGGTGACTCTGTGAGTTTTTGGTGGCTTACTTGCTTTAAATGATGTTTAAAATTTGTAGTGCTGACATGAGCTCATAAACTGCTTATTTATAAATGCTTCTGTTCTGCAACCATATGATTTGCTCCCAAACTCTTTGTAAACAATAAGGTCCATCTGTTTCAGCACAGATTGTTGTTGTTGTTAGTTGCGAAGTCAAGTCCAACCCATTGTGACCTCATGGGCAACATTCCTCCACCATTCCCCGGGGTCCACTTAAGTTCACACCCACTGCTTCAGTGACTCCATCTAGCCACCTCATTCTCTACCATCCCCTTCTTTTGCCGTCAGTTGTTCCCAGCATCAGGCTCTTCTCCAGGGAATCCTTCCTTCTCATTAGGTGGCCAAAGCATTTGAGTTTCATCTTCAGTATCTGGCCTTCTAAAGAGCAGTCAGGGTTGATCTTCTCTAGGACTGACTGGTTCGATCTCCTTGCAGTTCAAGGGACTCGCAGGAGTCTCCTCCAGCACCACAATTCAAAGGCCTCAATTCTTTGGCACTCAGTCTCCCTTACGGTCCAGCTTTCACAGTTATACATTGCAGCTGGGAAAACAAGATAACTAAGAGGGCTGGCCTAAATCTGATATGTTGGAAATTGTAAATGAAGAATGTGCGGTAATGAGAAGAGGAATAACATTATACTACTAAATACTGAGTCAATTTACAATATGTTCCCTTTCTTTGGAGTAAGCATAATCACACTCAGGGAGTTATGCATAGGATCTGGCTGTTAAATATCTACTGTAGTATTTTAATAATAGTTTATATGTTTGGTTTATAAGAACTAAGCTAGAGTCCTCAGTGATAGAAAAAAACTGTGTTGCTGGCCAGTGGGCAGCAAGTTCACATTTCTGGAGCTTTGTGCTTTTCATTCTAGAAGTACCCGATAAAAGATTCATCAACTTGCTCTGGCTCCAGGTTGATGCCCATTTTGAATGCAACTCATCTCTTGTTTTGTGTATTTAAGTAGAATTAAGTAGAATAAGTAAGCCTTTCTTCATACAATTGTATATAGATGTAAAGACTTGATTGTAAATATGATTGGATGGTTTGAGGTGGAGAAATGTTTTCTTCTCCCATCTTCCAAATTTGATTTGCAAAATAGTGGCTAAAAGTTTGGGCTATATGTAATTAAGTTCCTAGTTCAAATTTGGCTACAGCAAAACAGTAACAGGCAGGGTAATCCTATTGTGAAATAATTTCCAAAGCTTCAGCTTCAGTCTTGGGAAAGTAAGACCTGCAGATCTTTTGCCAGAGACAAGGAAGGGAAATCCAAGATTAGGTCTCCCTTTCCAAGGTTGGAACAGTCTTCAGTCTCAGAAAAGATAAACATCTCTAGAACTCTCAGGAGCCAAAGAACTGTAAACCACCCAGAGAGCTTTAGATATGGGGTGGTATAGAAATGCAATTAATAATAATAAACTAAGTCTTAGTCTGAGTTCTCCTGAGTTTTCCAACTGTTAAATATCACTTCTCAAGTGATATTTTCCCTACTTACCCTTTTCCCTGCTTCCTAAAAAGTTCATCTGTTCTTCTAATCTATTTTAGAAGTATGTTTGTTACTATTACAGTGTCTGAGTTCAGTTGAATTAATTGATATCAAGGAGAATTAAATAAAGTAGAAATGTTTAGCTAATGTTAGCTGCACTGAGGATAACGTTCATTTCTTTATTTTTCTGGTCGAACAATGTTTCACCTCTTTCATGCCTTAACCTTGCACCAAATTTTCCCTTTACTATCTTAAATTGTGTCCTTGTAGCATTTTGATGTTTTACAATTCACTTTTCACATATCTGATAGTAGATAAATGTGAAGTAATATGTTCAGAGAGTTCTCTATTAAACTTTCCCCAATGTATAACTTTGCTATGTTCAATAGTTCTGGTAATTGGAATGCAGCTGAGTAGAACAGGTCATAAGCCTGACTAAGACAATTGGAAAAGAGATAACATGGGCTTCAAATCAACTGCCCCCTCGCACAATGTGCAGTGGATGGCTGTGATGAAAAGAGCCTTCTATGTAGTGGCTCCCCATCTGTGGTATGCTTTCCCATGGCAACTTGCCTAATGTTAAATTCAGCTGCCATTTTAAGATCTTCCTTACCCAGTATGTATTTAACCTGCTGTTCTGCTTGTTAACTTTTACTGCTTGTGCTTTGTTGTACGTACTGTTTTTGGTTTTTTATTGTTATAGACTGCCCTAAGGTCACCTGCCAAGTAAGCAGTATATAAATTTAAGAAATAAATGAAGAAGTAGGGAAACTAAGCTCCTCTTTTTCTACCTTTTTATGTTTGTCAAACTTGGCTATATGTTCATTACAGGCCATAAGTGAAGCACATTCTCTTCACAGGTTACACATACTCTGAGCCTGCTGTCTCAACATTCTCGTTTGCTGAAGTAACTCACTATGGCTCCTAAGGATATAATGACTAACTCTCATGCCAAGTCCATTCTTAATGCAATGAATTCTCTGCGAAAAAGTAACACACTTTGTGATGTGACCCTACGTGTGGAGCAGAAAGACTTTCCAGCCCATCGCATTGTGTTAGCTGCTTGCAGTGACTATTTCTGTGCTATGTTCACCAGTGAGGTAGGCAAAATACACAATACTTTTTATTCATGCAACTAACAAAGTCCATTGTAATGCAGCTTTAACAGTGCAAACATGACAGTAAGGCTTGCAGTCCTAGATTCACTGAACTCATTGGGGCTTGCTTCTGAGTAGAGATGTCTAAGATTGCACAGCTCCACTGCAATTCTGTCCTACTTGCTTAGGAGTAAATCCATAGAACTTGTTTATGCCAAAATACGCATGGGATTCAGCTCTAAAAATGCATATAAAATTATTTATATATAAAAATGAAAGCTGCTAAATAGTGAAGTGGACTATTTGAAGAAACATATGAACAGATTATTGGGACAAAAATTAGTATTAGCTGTAGTCTTATACAAGTTCATACAAGCTGCCTAGCATTGTGTTGCAGATTGCACTGTAGCCTTGATTCACATTCTGAATCCTTACATTTTAAGTTATTATGTCACCTCCAAGTCTTTAAGATAAGTTTAGCAAAAATGTGAACAAGACATTAAATGTAATGGTAATTGTCTGTTCCAATGTTTTATTCTTTGATTAATTTTCAGCACATATGTTGACGACTGTAGAACTCTAATAGGAAACAGGCTTGGCAACTGATTTTTTACAGGGACAGCAACATTGGCTCTGCCCAGTGTTATTACCACATAAATTCACTACCCCATAAACTTTTCATCCTTAGCCTTCTCTCTCCTGTGTGAATGGAAATAGAAGCTTTGGCAAAGGCTTCCATTTAGGTACCCCAGCATCCGACTTCTGTCCATGTCTTGGCTTGCTTGCAGTGGTAAGTAGCCTAGTTGCATAAGAGGGAGCTTTCACAATTCTTCCCTTTTGTACATTGCCGTATCTTCTTTTTGTAACAATCAGTTTTACACATAATACAGTCAATTAAATACATTCTACACATTATTGCCCCGCTGGGTATTTAGGGTGCAAACCTTAGGCACCTTCTGAGAGGCCATAGGATATTGTGTATTTCCAGATCTAAGGTCAGAGAAAGTGCACCAATGTCAAGGCTAGGAATTAGGGCTCTGCCCTCACCCCCAAGCCAACTTGGAAAGAACTATGCTGGCTGGTCTCTGAGATTAAGGAAGTGAATTTGGCAACAGAGAAAGGGGGCATTTCAGGGAGTGTGGACTGGAGAGCCCAGGATGCAAGCTATCTTGATACCTCTTCTTCCATTCCTCTCCAAAACACTTCAATTGGATGGGCAAAAAAGCCCATGTAGTAAAAATCCTGGACAGGAAAATAGGAATTCTAAATGGTTCAGGAGCTGCACCACTTCTCCCACTCTGTACTGAATAACCCGAAGCCTCTAAGTTTGGTGCTTATGGGCATCACCATAGAAATGTTTTCTTAGTCTCAACTGACGATACTTAATTTGAATCAGAGACTTCCTCCCTTATGTTCATACTCACAACCCTGAGACCTTTGGAAAAGAGCATTGATGAAAAATAGTATACTGTATAAGAAGACAAAATTATTAAACTACCTGGTATGGCTGGAAAAAAGTACAGTCACATACTTCTGAATGTTTTTGAGTTTTATTAAGATTAGCTTTTCAGTTAGCTCACTTTTTATAATTATTTAACAATTTATAAGAGTGAATTTTTAACAATCAGCTGGTTGCCCATTGTGTATACTATCTTCAGGTGACCAGAGAAGCTTTTCAAATGTTGGTGACTTTTTAAATTAGTATTTGATTACTGTTACCTGCATGACCTAATGCAGGTAGATCATGGATTAGCAAGTCAGTACATGTTTTTGTTCAAGGGGAAATTCAAACCTAGAATAGGAATGCTAAAAGACAGCAGGGGGATACACTGTCTGACCAGAAGAGAATAAAGAGAAAGTGGAAACAATATACAGAATTATACATATAAGATGAAAACATATCAACTTCCTTCAAAAAAGAATCCTATGAGGAAGAGTCTGAAATATTCGAAAGCAACGTCAAAGTCAAACCTTCTCTAAAAACACTTGATGGGATGCCAGTAGAACTAGATAGGAGTAGATAGGATAACTATATAACTATTCCAAGCTGCAGAGACCAAATTGATCCAAATCCTAACAATATGCCAGCAAATATGGAAAACAATACTCCACAGACTGGAAACTCTCAATATACACTCCAGTCTTCAAGAAAGGAGATACAAAAAAGTATAGCAACCACAGGACCTTGGCACTAATTTCCCATGCAAGTGATGTTCAAGTATTGCACCAAAAAATACTAGCCTATATCAAGCAAGAAATGCACGACTTTCAAGCTGGATTCTAAAAAAGGAAGAGGCACTTAAGATCATTTTGCAAATATACACTGGCTACTGAAGCACACCAAAGAATTTCAGAAGATGATCAGTCTGTGCTCTGTAGACTACAGTGAAATCTTTGTGTGGATCACAAGAAGCTCTGTGCTTCAGCACTGGATTGTCCTGATGCATAACCTGTATCGTGGATAAGAAGGTAGTGCTAGGACAGCTTATAGGTGTATTTTATCTCCCTATGTGTTCAGTTTGTATGCAGAACACATAAAGCTGGATTAGAATCAGAGGAAGAAGGAATGAAAATTGGTAGAACACCTTCAGTCAGTTAAGATATATAGTTTATAGCATATTACTGGCAGAAAGCAGTGATAAATTGAAATGACTGAAAGAAGAAAGTGCAAAAGCAGGGCTGCAGCTGAATACTAAGTCAAGAATCATGACTACAGAAGAATTAGAAAACTTTTTTTATCAACAATGGAAAAAATCAAAATTGTGAAATATTTTGCCTACCTTAAATCAGTCATCAGTTCAAATGGTGATCTCAACCAAGAAATGAGACGACTAGGGCTTAGAAGGGCAGCAGTGAAGGGACTAGAAAAAATAATCAAGTAAGGATGTTTCACTGGAGACCAAGGCCAAGATAATCTGTTCTATTGTATTGCTGATCACTGTGTATGAGTGTGAAGGCTGGACAGTGAAGAAAGCTGAGAGGAAGAAAATTGATTCATTCAAAACTCAGTGCTGGAGGAGAGTTTTGTGATTATCCTGAATTGACAGAAAGATGAATAAGTGATTCCTAAAACAAAACAAATGAGAACTTTCCCTTTGCATCCCTAGAAGCAAAACTTTCAAAACTGAATCTGTCATACTTTGGACACATCATGAGAAGGCAAGACTTTCTGGAGAAGACAATCATGTGAGGGAAAGTTGAGGCTAGAAGAAGAAAAGAAAGACCATATGTGAGATGGATTGACTCCATAAAGAAAGCCACAGCCATGAATTTACAAGAGCTGAGCAGGGCTGTCATGGATAGTTCATCTTGGAGAGCATTCGTTCATAAAATTGCCATAAGTCAGAGATGACTTAATGGTACATAGCAACAACAAATGTATTTTTTGGACTAGTAACTTACTTGCAATGCTGTATTTTTATTATTTCAAGCCTGAATTTAGAATGAAAATGACTTTCATGTGGTTTGGAAATGAAACAGAGATTACTCTTAATTGGTTACAGTGAATAAATGTTTGTCTCCCAGTACATTTTAAAACATGTCATCTAGATTTCCCTCTGATCTTGCAAACTATACTTTTATGGTTATTGCAAGAAAATTTGGTAGGTATCATATTTTCCATTTGTTGAAATATGCTTCCTAACTCTTCCCAATTGTCTAAAATTATTTATTATATTTATAGATCACCTCATAACATAACATTCTTTAGTAATGCAATTTTATAGCCCCTGGACAGCATTGAACAAACCATAGTATTTTTTGGAGTTACAGCTCTTGAAAACAGCACCACTCTTGGCACACTCAGAGCGCCTCCCTTCATCATTTTGAATCTGTTGTGGAAAGAACTGCTCTGGCTGCTTCTCCAAGTTTCAGGAAGAAGAGAGGAGACTGGTACCACCAACATACAACTTATCAAGGGCGAACCTCAGTCTCCTTCCTTCCCTGACCAAAGCAGCACAGTTTAATGTCCAAAATCTTCTGCAGAGGTGATCCTCTACTTTGTGTTCCTCCCACCTGCACAGGATGCCCTGTAATCATCTGAGTTCAGAAGCTTATAGCCATTCCTATTAAATTGCACCCTAGGAAACTTCAATAAGCAGCTTACACTTTTAAGTTTTCCATATTTGACTTCAGAGCCCATTAAAAATTATTAATCTTTAAAGGTCAGTATTTAATATATAACCAAAGCATTGCTTTTCTCATTTGTAATTTGCAGCTTTCAGAGAAAGATAAACCTTATGTGGATATCCAAGGGCTAACAGCCTCAACTATGGAAATATTGCTGGATTTTGTATACACAGAAACTGTTCATGTGACAGTGGAAAATGTTCAAGAGTTGCTTCCAGCAGCCTGTCTGCTTCAGCTGAAAGGTAATGGCAACATTTTGTAGATCAGGGATGGAGATCTTGTGGAGTTCTTGAGCCATGTTGCTCATTTTCTGTATTTTACTGAACATTAAGCACAAAAGAGGCTTTATAGCATAGCGATGGAATATTAGACTAGCTGTTGCCAATACAAACCTTTACCTAAAGCAGAGATGAACAAAAACATTTTCAACTGAGTGAGTTCCAAAACACAGGTGAGAATATGCAGGAGCTTCATATGAAAGAAGGCATTCCTAAGTACACCAGAACTACAGTTCAGTTAACAAAATAAATATAAGACAGTGTAAAATATAAGGAGGCTTCCTTTAAAATAGGGTGCACAACCTTTACAGCCCTTTAACTCACAACTTGCTGGGTTGCATTCCATGTGCAAGTCATTTCTGCTTTGCAGAAGCAGTGTCCTGTTTCTCTAATGAAAGGTGGCTGTGTGTTGTGCCAACTCAGGCATTATGGATTACTCTTGGGTTAAACGACCAAAATTAACCTAGGATCTAATTGTACGTTAACTTTGAGTTGTTTAACTCGCAAACAACCTACTGATTGTGTTTGAATATGCAGCCTCCAGTTGGAAGTTGCTCTGTGCTGTCTGAATGTGAAGACTATGGCCTGGTTTGACTGTAATGACAACCTATTCTTTGAAAAATGAATGGGTTGTCACATATGAGTAGATGTGCTGCCTAAAACCTTCCTGCTTCTTCTGCTTTAAAACATAACTCATGATTGGCTTTTACACAGGCTATACATTATGCCTGCAAACTCCAGTTATCGCATGGTTTGTTGTGGGACTAGCCCAGCAGTTAGAGCTCATGTGTCCTGCTGTGTAACTTAAAAAGGAGTTGATTGTAGGCTGTATGCAAAAAATGAGTGTGCTACTTTTTTGCAACACCCAATCTTTTTTTCTTTTTTAAAGAATGAGTTGTCATCACATGAGAACAGGGCCTATCTGTTCACTGTGAGTTGAATAACCCACAGTTACCTTAACAACTAATTGTATGTTAACTCAGAGTAAACACATTGTTTCCTGGTTCAGATGTCATGGAACAACTTCTGATTGAGCCAGTTCAAAGTTGTATATTTAAAATGACACAGCAAATGTTTGCCACAGCAAATTGTGGATAGGTTAAGCCATGGCTTGCCACTGTTATGTGCAAACTGGGTTGTTTACACATCACACCACAAACTACATTCAGACCTATTGGAAACTGATTGTGTAAAGCAGCAGCGTGCAGTGCAACATTGTGGTTAATTTATTTATATTTTGCTACTACTATGTGCATGTTTGGTCATACTTTTTCCAGCCCTGCTTTGCACAGCTTTTAAAATATTTTTTAAATGTTTTACTAATCTTACACAGTTTCTTTAATTCAGTACCTACAAAATTCAATACTGCTTCCAAGTAAAATGGAAGGCTAGGGAGATGAAAAGAATTGATATTTGTTAGATTGATTGATTTGTATTGTTCCATGGCTAATTTTCTTAAAAAAGAATGTGGTTCTTTGAAATATTTTTTCAGAGCAGTGGTTTGGCCATCTAAAGTCCAAATAATCAGCTCATTTTATTGTAGGAGTGAAGCAGGCTTGCTGTGAGTTCCTGGAAAGCCAGCTGGATCCATCAAACTGTTTGGGTATCCGAGATTTTGCTGAAACACATAATTGTGTTGACTTAATGCAGGCAGCTGAGGTCTTCAGCCAGAAACACTTCCCAGATGTAGTTCAACATGAAGAGTTTATACTGCTAAATCAAGAAGAAGTAGAAAAGTTAATCAAATGTGATGAAATTCAGGTAAAAGCTACTTTGTTGCTGTACAAACCAGTAAAGGAGATGCTACATGGTCCTTGCATGTAACATATTAGAACCCAACCAAAAAATAAACTAGTGAAATATTGGTTAGGAGTCTGTGAATTCCAGTTTGCCCTTCAACATGCCTTCTCTTATAGGTGGATTCTGAAGAGCCTGTCTTTGAGGCAGTTATTAATTGGGTAAAGCACTCAAAGAAAGAACGGGAAGCATCCCTGCCAGAGCTTCTGCAGTATGTGCGCATGCCACTCCTCACCCCGCGCTACATCACTGATGTCATAGACACTGAGGTAAATGCCAATTGCCTTATTAAGCAGTTTGTGGAGTTGGTCTAATTTAATACTATAACTGCTGTTTTATAAATTATGTACATGATTAGAACATGGGGAGATGTTTCTGGTTCTCTTCAGGAAAGAGTTGTCACTCACAATGTTGACATGTTTTGAGGAATAATTATAAAGCTATCTACTTCAACCTATTGTATATGAATCCATAAAAATATCCAAAGCCAATCAATTGAACATAGATCTTGACACTGTGAAATAAATGCCCTCATGAACCTAGCCACTCCTCATCTCCTACACCATTAAAATGCATATTAACACTGGAGCACAGCTATGAGTTCTGTGAATCCCAAATAAAGAAATGACAGTCCATTTTAGACACTACAGTACTAGATCATAAAGGATGATCTAGAAACTTTGGGAAGACTTCCGGACTGTACCACATTGGCTGTATTTTTATCTCATAAAAATACTTTCCATTTTTAGTTCTCATTTGTTTTAGCCATAGGTTTTTACTATGTCAAATTTAAATATAACAAAATAGCAGTATTAAAATAGATCATATGTCCAAATTTCAGTCTGCTACACAATTATTAAAATACTCTGCAGTTGTCATAGCAAAGTCATACCCTCCTTACTATAAAAGTTCTGCCTAGGTTTCTCAGGAAAAAAGGCAATAAAGTATTTTATCTTTATTTCTGGAAACTGTGAATGGAAGCACACACATGGAAAGGAACTTTTCCATTCATTTCTTTTTCACTTCCCAGAGCCTCTTGCATACACACACCCAAACGCGTATGTGGAGTTAGGTGACCCACCCAAATAGTTAGTGATGGAACACCTCTAGAGTACTGCTGAAAGAGGTAGAAATTGACCAAATCAGAGTAACAAATCAATATCCATAGTATAGCTTTAATTTCAGACTAATTAAGCTAAAATAAAACCCCCTTGAACCAATGTTAATGTTCATTCATGAAAGCTGCACTTGAGTTAGGTTTCTGTCAGAGGTGCCAGTAAGAGGTTTTTTCCCCATATAAGTGCATTATAGTGCTTAATTTTTGTAATATTTCTGAATTAATGCAGCCTTTCCTAATATGTGGTTAACTTGGTTTAGAGTTCACAATATAGGCATATATTAATGTAAAACATAAGATTTTATAAACTCCACAACTTATGTTAAGGAATGTTTCAGAATTTGTTCCACAATCAGTTTGGAACCTTTTATTTTCTGTATACCAATTTATCTTATAATTGCTAATGTTCAGAATTAGATACAATTTGAATACAGGTCAGAAGGTTTTATATTGCTTTTAGCAGCACTCTCTCAGATACAATTCTCAGTGTATTACTAATTGTAGGATTGTTTTGAGGAACTACAGAACCTGTATAAATTGTATAATGCTCATATGTCTTCCCCAGCCTTTTATTCGTTGTAGTTTGCAGTGCAGAGACCTTGTAGATGAAGCTAAGAAATTTCATCTAAGGCCTGAGCTTCGGAGCCAAATGCAAGGTCCAAGGACTAGAGCACGTTTGGGTAAGCAACAAAAGAATGCATATCAAAATGACTGGAAAATAGTAATGTTATATTCCTATATCTAATGTCTTGTTTTCCAGCATGCTCAAAATGTCTAACCCAGAAAAACATTTTCAGATTTCTAAAAATGCTGTATTAAGTATCTACTTATTTGTTTCAACAAGCTTTTCCAGAAAAGTATTTTTACAAATTATTCAGAAAGATTGATAAATAAAATAAAAATGTGTTCCTGCTATTCTTAGATGCCATAAATCTGAAAATTATTTGCAAATATTTAAATTCCTTGATGACACACTGATGGGAAAAACACAAAATATTTAGAAATGCTATATTCTCAGGATGTTCTAGAAGTGAGCAAAATTACTCACTTCTATTCAGAGAGAGCTGAAGATTTTATTGTACTAGCTAATGTGACTGATTAATAGTGTTAAGTTAAAAACAAAGGATTGATTGGTTTGCATTAAAATACATGAGATTTTAATATTGCTCTTCAGTTTTGCATTAAATTAGAACTGTTTTCTTATTATCATATTTACCTAGTCTTGAAGATGTCTGTACAGGTGTGCAGGGGGATGGGGAAGAAGAAATCTCAAAAAATGAAATGCAGTTGTTAATATAAGGTTAACTAGAAAAAAATGAAATGCAATGATACACTCCAATGCTTAGTTATGCTTGCTAATGTTCTGTTGAAATAAATAGGACTAGCATGCTTGCTGAATAGTTGCCTACAGGTTTTTAATTGAAGCAGTATAGGCTGATGAAATAATCAAGTCTCCTGTGTTGGAGGTTTTTAGGAACTTGAATAGTATGTCAGGAGGGTTTAAGCCTGGTGTGTTGCTCAGCTCTACCATTCCAGATCCGACCAGGCCAGACCATTCTAGACCATTTAAGGTTAAGGATAACATCAGCTGCTAATAAGAAAAGTAATGTACTCTGAGATACTGTTGTTCAATTTTAAGATCCATTTTTCGAAACAGAATGTACAAACTTGGCCTAAGAATGCTTTCTTTTTTTCCTGTTGGATTCTTACATTCTGGTGATCCATGTTCATTCAGGTGCCAATGAAGTTCTCTTAGTAATTGGGGGTTTTGGAAGTCAGCAGTCACCTATTGATGTGGTGGAGAAATATGACCCAAAGACACAGGAATGGAGTTTCCTACCGGTATGTAATTTTTTGCTTTGCCACATTTTTGCAACAACAGCGATAATATGCCACTTACACATTGTTAAAGTATATTTGGCAAGTCTGATTATGCACACTAATGAGCTAACTGCATGTTAATAACTAATGCAAATACCAGTGCCTCAGCACCTCTTTTTAAAAAGCAATGTTGCCAGGGGGAGAGCTTCACAAAGATGATTTGTTACACGTTTCCTTTGTGTAGGAAAAAGTATAAAGTCTGTACACCATTATTTGTGCACAGTAACCATATTTCTCTCGCTCTACCCATAAACCTCAGAGAAAGTGGGGTGGTGACTTCCCACTGTTTGAATGGGTGCCAGTCCATGTGTTAGATTTAGATTAATATTTTAGATTAATAATTGAAAGAATGAACTGCAACTTAGGAAATTCCCAGCTCAAATATCTACTCATTCATGAATTCACAGGTTGCCCCCCAAGTCTCCTAAATCCTCCCCCAAATCTAAAATATTGAAGTAGCACTAGTCTTGCAATATAGCACTGTTGGTAAACATGTGGTTCTCTAGATATTGATGAATTACAGCTTTTATCAGCCCTAGATGACAAACAATAGGAGTTGATGGGAGTTACAGTCCAACAACTTTTGGAGAGCCATGTATTCTCCACTACTGTCTTTTATCATAAAGATTGCTGAAAAAATATATGAGAAACAGTTTGAAGGTATTGTATCCATATGATACTTGCATAAGAAAAATATCTTATGTATAGCAGCTAGCAATGGTGAATCAGATGAAATTTCAACTTGCTCATATCCAGCACTCAAGCCAATGCTTTCTAAATCTATTAGCAAGCCATGTCCTTGTGTGTCAAAAACTGTTGGTTCTTATTCACGGCTTTCCATTGAGGGTTTTTTGTTTGTTTGTTTTATATAAGGGAACCAAAAATGTATGCTGCATGCTAAAGAAGGGAATCCATGAAATTGAAAATTTCTGTCCTAACTAAAATGGATTTATAGAAGTAATAAGCTTTGCTGCATGAGTCCACTTTGACTAGCAACACTTTATCTGCACTGATCATTTTTTCACATTTGTTTTCTCTCTCTTCCCCCCAACACTGCATGCACACACACCTGGCATATATAGAATCTATCTATAGACTCTGGCAGCACTAGGAAATTGCAAGTGCCAGTGTTACTTAGAAATATCAAAGGTTATCGATTGCTTTCTCTCTCTCTTTTAACATGTGTAGAGCATCAGCCGTAAAAGACGCTATGTTGCTACAGTTTCTTTGCACGATCGGATATATGTAATAGGTGGATACGATGGCCGTTCTCGTCTCAGCTCAGTAGAATGCTTGGATTACACATCTGATGAAGACAGCATCTGGTACTCTGTGGCTCCGATGAATGTTCGACGGGGCCTAGCAGGGGCCACTACTCTGGGAGGTAGTATTGATTAATTTACTGTCATCCTGCTATTGATGATACACATTAATGGTATAGGTCCAGTAAGATAAATTTCGAAAGAGTTAATGGCATCATTTTGGCCATGGTAAATTTATATTACTAAAATACCAATTTTAAATACTGTGATTTGTTTCAGTTGGTTAATTAACTACAAAAACTTGAATTTGTTGACTGGCCTAATATGGATGCATGAAACACTTATTTTTCTCTTCCTTCTGTGAAGACTTGGCAGAAGAGGGAGCCTGGAAAAAAGCTGTGCAAAGGCCTCAGGTTCTCACACACTCACAAATGCACATGCTCATGTCTGTCTTAGGGACTGCTAAGTAGATTTTGCTCCATTTGTAATGAGCAATTTCAGTAGATTTCATTTTTATCATCTGTATCAATGCTTAAGGTGAAAAAAAGTATTAGAATTAATATCATGCCCAGGAACACAAATATTTTGACCTTCATTCTCAATGATCCTAGCTCTAGTTCATTCATGATGTGAATTTATGTAGGTATTATATTCAGAAGCTATGTATGGGGTAGCTAGCAAATCTGCTGAAACCTGACTAATCTCTAAAATGAAGAAATGACTTGAGCAATTGATAAGATCATTCTGGGGTAACTTCCCTTACTTGTATGAACTCATTCATCTCTGGTTTTCTGAGGAGCTGGCTTTAAACAATGAAAAGCCAACTTTATTCCTGTGGAAAGCCCACAAACAGGATATGAAAGGAATAGATTTCTGCAGTGATGGTATTTACAAGACTCTTTGCAGATACAATTGTTCACATCCAGTCAGGCCTGAATTGGTGACAGAGACTTTAGATATACATTTTTACTGCTTGTTCTGTTATGATTACATCTCCATTTGTGTAGCCTGAGAATGTAGACAGAATGCTTGGAGGTAGGAGATCAGCCAATTGTGAACTTGATCCTTAGCCTTCCAATCATTGGACTGGTTGAATGATTGAGAATGTAGTTAATGCCTCTGAGTAAGAGTTGCTGTGTTTGAAGGAAGAAGTAGGAAAATCTTTAATGAACCAGGATTTTATCTTTGCATCTTTCTAGACCAATCTTATTTGTTCCATTCTTGGGCAAGGTACTCAGACATAGGGTAATAACCTGGCTTCAGAGAGTTTTGGATTGTACACATGATCTGGATCCATTTTAACCCTGTTTAGAACTGAAGCAGCTTTGCTGAATGATCTGTGCACATAACTAGATAAAGGGAGTGCCTCAGTGTGGAATATATGGACTCTTCAGTGATCATTGCTTCCTTATGAGCTATCTGACCATAGTTAGACTTCAGGGCTCAATTTTCCAGTAGTTCTGGATGTTTTGGAGAACAGATCTTAGGAATTGATGCTGGATAGCTTCTGCACAATAGAATGGCCTTTGGCTTATAGTACCCTGCATGGTTCTATTCTGAAACTGCTGGAGTGGGTCATCCAGAGAATTAGGGTTCAGTGTCATCAGTTTGTTGATGCTCAGTTCTCTTCTTTCCATCAGGTCACAAGGAGGCTTTGGTGGTCCTGAATAAGCATTTGAAGTTGATAAAAGACTGAATATGAATTAGCAAATTTAAATTTATAACAGGCAAGATAGAAGTACTCTAGGTCAGTAGAATGGTTGATCCAGAGATTCCATTTCAGTCTGTTGTAGTTAGATTTTCTCTCTTTCTGAAGAATCAGGTATGAAAGTACTCCTGGATCAGATGTTACTCTTAGATGCTCAGGTAGCAGTGCTTTCACACAACTCAGGTGGGTGTTCCAACTGTGCTCTGGGAAAAGAGCAGACCAAGGTATGGTCATGCATATCTTGGCTACATTTAGCAATTCTCTGTTCCACATCCCCATCATCAGAAGTATACCTTTGTACTGTGCCTTCTGTGCTTTTATTGGTTGGTTTTTAAAAATGATTTTTTATCTTTCTAATAATGTTAGGTTTCTTGGGTGCTTCAGAAATAGAGCAGAATGTCAAGAACTTAATATTTAATAAAGAGAATGCCAAATGTAGCCTTTGTTATTGAAATGTCTGACACCAGCTTATAACCGGATATTGTGTTTCAGACATGATCTATGTTTCTGGAGGTTTTGATGGAAGCCGGCGCCATACCAGTATGGAGAGATATGATCCAAACATTGATCAGTGGAGCATGTTGGGAGATATGCAGACAGCTCGAGAAGGAGCAGGACTGGTTGTTGCAAATAATATTATCTACTGTCTTGGTAGGTGATCTTAGTATCATGTAATTTATATGAACTAGTATTTTAACCATGTTTGGTAAAAAGACTATGCAAGGAAATTAAAATTAGGAGGTAATCTTGCAAATCTAATATTTTCAAGTATTATTTACCTTCATCCTGAGGCATACAATAAGTATGAACATGTTCTTCCCTAGAATGTCTCTAGATTCAGAATTCCAATATCTGAGAGTAATAACCCATATGTATGAAAGTAAAAATGGAGGAAAGATGGCAAATTTGGTAGGACAGAGCTCAGCAATTGCTTGATTGCACCAGTCCTTTTAGTTTTCATAGTACAGAGGGAACTTGGTTGCAGTTTAAGACATGCTGTCCTAAGCAAATTGTTGTTGTGAGCCGCCCCAAGGGGCGGCATAAAAATGTTTTAAATAAATAAATAAATAAGTGTTCATCAGCGCAGTAACATGTGGTTGAAGGCTAAAGATTGGAATAATTAAATTATATATGAATATTTGATATTACTTTTATGAAGTTAATTTTCACTGAACTTCTCAAGGAAAGTGAACTAAAATATTCAGACATTAGCAAGGTACTTAGAGCAACATTTACTGTCCTCGAAAATAGGAAGAAGAGCATGTGTCCTATGCTCATTGTAGTGTTCAGAATTTCACAATTTTTCCAGTGGAACATAATGTTTGTACTCATACATACAACATACCACTGGTGCCCCCAGTATTCCCAGATCTTTTTTACAGAGTTTTCTCATTCTTTTCAAGAAAATAGATTATCTGCAGGAAGCTGGGAACAGGCATTGTCCAATGGACAACGAGTCCATTGTCTACTTTTTAAAATACTGCATATAAGTACAGTTGTAAAAGTCAGTCCCTTTATCCCAGCTCCTTTGTGGCTCACAGCCCTTTTCGATTGCAGATTGTAAGATGTTTGGAGTGAGGGATCTTTCTTTATTATAAGTGTTGCTCATGTTTTGCCTCCAACATCTAAATAAAATTAAGAAACTCATTTTCTGGGTTCCTCTATGCATTTTCAGGTGGTTATGATGGTCTGAACATCTTAAATTCTGTGGAACGATATGATCCCCATACTGGACATTGGACAAATGTCACTCCAATGGCCACCAAACGTTCAGGTGAGATTTCTGATCCTGGGTAGGAAGCTGTGGAATGAAATGTAAGCACCTGTTTCCTAATACATCTTGATTAGCATTAATCATAGCAGAGTAGCAACAGGTCTGTTATTGATACCCTGAACACCATTTTGGTGGAAAAAGAGGATATAAATTTTATATATTGAAGAAATCAGTCATAAGTAGCACTAATGGCTGTTTAATAGAGAACAACTGTTTAGCCAAACAACGGCCGCCGATCCGTGGCCCGTGCCGGCCAGTTCGCAGCTGCCGCTGGCCAGTCCGCAGCCCATGCTGGCCTATCTGTGGCCTGTGCTGGCACAGCGCTTAGATAAATCGAAGAAAAGTTTCTGAAGAAAACCAAACATTTAATGATACTTGGGTAGATTCATTTGCTTTTACTGCTGACAAACTTATGGGGTTTGCCATTTAATGCATGGAGCCCTTTAACACTAACTTTCACTCTTCTGTTCTCCTATTCAAAATATATGAAAGGAGTCCTACTAGATTATAATGTAAGATTAAAAATACCAGTTTTTAGTGACTGAACAAGAGCTGCAGCTAAATCATAATGAAGATATACATAGTATTAAGATAAAATGGCTTCCCATTGAAGTCCGGGCCCAATTCAAGGTGTTGGTGATGACCTGTTAACGGCTTGGGTCCTGGCTACCTGAAGGAGCGCTTATGTCCATATATGCCTGCCCGCCCCCTGAGATCTGCGGGAGAGGCCCTTCTCCAGGAACCCTCCGTGAAGGAAATTAGGAGGGTGGGTACTCGGAGGAGGCTTTCTCTGTGGTGGCGCCCAATCTATGGAATGCGCTCCCCAGAGAGGTCCGCCTGGTGCCATCGTTACTTGTTTTTCGGCGCCAGGCGAAGACCTTTTTGGTCAAACGTCATTTTAACTGTTAATATTATTTATTTATTTTATTCTTCGGCCAGGGCGACTTATTTTATATTGTTAACTTGTTTTATATTTTTATTGTATAATGTTTTAATTGATATGTTTGTGAGCCGCCCCGAGGCTTTGGCGAATGGAGCGGCATAGACATTTTCTAAATAAATAAATAAAATAAATAATAGTTAATATTATTTATTCATTTTATTCTTTGGCCAGGGCGACTTAATTTATATTGTTAATTTATATTGTTTTATTGAATTTTATTTATTTATGGTTTGTGAGCCGCCCCGAGGCTTCGGCAAATGGGGCGGCATAGAAGTCACATACATACATACATACATACATACATACATAAATAAAGTTATAATAATAAATAAATAAATAAATAAATAACTATAAATATAAATGCGCGCAGTGTTATCTTCATTTTAGATGTCAAAAGGGTTTTGCGGCTCCAGTGTTTTCTTTTGTGTGGGAAACAGGTCCAAATGCCTCTTTGAGTGTTAAAGGTCCCCTGGTTTAGGGGATAGTTTGTGCTAACTTTTAACAGACAACATTGCTAACCTATGGATACTAAAAAGGTAGGCATCATGATAACTGCACACAACTTAGTATGTGTTTACAGACAGCAAGAGGGATGATCTCTTTTATTTCCGTGTATGCCTAATTGTAGGAAGCTTTCCTGTGGATATCACATTTCATTGTTTCTTTTCCTAGGAGCTGGAGTAGCCTTGCTTAATGATCATATTTATGTGGTTGGAGGGTTTGATGGAACAGCACATCTCTCCTCTGTGGAAGCATATAACATTCGTACAGATTCTTGGACTACAGTGACCAGCATGACAACACCCCGCTGTTACGTAGGCGCAACTGTGCTGAGGGGAAGACTTTATGCCATAGCAGGGTAAGCAGCCAGGCCTCCTCTACTCAAAAAGATATGCCCTAGACATATCTGAAACTTCCTTTACCTTATGGCTCTACAAGCATGTTAATCTGTCCCTTTTTAAACTGTGCCCCTTCTACCCTCCCCATATACAGTTTGTTGGAGGTTTGGGTAAACATAAGAGCATAGGAAGCTGTCTTATACTGAGATAGACCACTGGTCCATCTAGCCCAGTGTGGTTGACAGTAATGGGCAGCAGCTCTCAGAGGTTTCAGGCAGGAATGTTTCCAGCCCTACATGGAGCTGCCATGGATTGACCCCACAACCTTTTGCATGCAAAGTTTGTGCTCTGTCCACAGATCTACAAAACTGGCTCATTGTTATTTTATCTAGCTTCTTCAAACTGATCTCTGATTTGCTATTGGCTAAGCCTCCGTCCAGTTTGGCATGTGCCCTGAAGACACGTCACACATACCCTGTACATCTATACTCGTACAGTCAGACTGCCTGCAAGTTTCTCTCTCTCAGTTCATCAGCTCAGAACTGCAGCTCCAAACCCTAATGAAGTAAGGGAAAAGAGCTGCAGAGAACATTTTTATTCATGCAGTTATTTCAGTTTCCACTCAGTCCTGGGCTTAATGATTCCACAGCTCCTTTGCTGCTGTTGTTTTTAATTTGTACACTGAGCTGTATATTCAAAAACAAAAGTGTATTTTGTGAAGTACAGCTCCAGTATTTTTACCTATATGGCATATCAAATGTGGGCAACAGCATACCAAACACATAATTATATGAAAATATTTATCAACATGTACAATATAGACTCCACTTTGTCCATGACTCCAGATTTTCTATAAAAAATGTAATGTAGAGATTGTTCCATAGCGGTAGCATGAGCAAGGATGAACATGGTAAAGTTTGCCTCATACTGATCTCTTTAAAACAAAAACAAAAAAGCAAACGCTCTAGTTTCAATTGACTTGGAGATGGTTTTGCCTCCCCTCACAAACTACCATAATTTCTTAACTGATTTAATAATCCCTCCTACCTCCAAGAGTTTCAATATATTTTCATCTGTAACCTTCTGTCACACACAGGTATGATGGGAACTCACTCCTGAGCAGCATTGAGTGCTATGATCCTATCATTGACAACTGGGAAGTGGTGACATCACTGGGGACCCAACGTTGTGATGCTGGTGTTTGTGTCCTGCGGGAGAAGTGACTTTAGGGAAGGACCTGGTGAGAGCACTTCCATGGGACAGAGAAGCTATAGGATAAAGCACTGGCTGACTTGGAGTTCTTGATCTTGTAGCTGTGGATGCAGAGACCACTGCTGTCTGGCCTGTGTTCCACACCCTCAGGCTCATCTTCAAAGCGAGTGATTCCAGTTTCAGAACAAAACCAGGCAAGGCACTTTGAACTGAAAATGGAGAAATTACATATTTACATATGCTGCCCTTGTAAAAATGTCAAAGCAGCAAGGCCGACTGAATATCTGAGGTTAAGTAGCTCATCTTGGTCCTCTCCAAAGCATCAGCATACATGCATTGTGAACATAGGCCCAAGGCTTGGTTTGTGCCTGATCATTTCCATGCACCAAATATGCTGCCACATGGACACAGTGAACATTGTGTGGGCACAGCATGCTTTCTGGATGATTTTTCAGGCGCTGCACACACTTGCACATGATGCTGGGAAGAAAAGCCAGACATAGTCTGATTGTAACTGGACTCATTGTGGTGGTATAAGGAATCTGACCTCCACCTTAATAAGTGAAGAGGGAGAAATGAAGACTATTGCCTACTGCACTAATTAGTCTGTATGTTGGGAGAATGACAGGCAGGCAGGAAGAGACCATTACATCTTATGCTTTCTGCCAGAGGATGGATGCCTATATTTCCTGGAGAGGCTGTGTTCCAGTACTTGTGAATAAAAACCTGGTTGTAGTTTACATCTTTTTTTCTAAAGTAGAGATTCTTAGTGTTAGCAGAGTCATAAATAATAAGTCTTAAATGTGTTCTTGGGTGTCTGAGCATAATGGATATGTGCAAACATATGCTTTTTAAAAGGGTACATCAGCCCAAGCTATTTTTCAGTGGTTGGATGCGCACTTTAAATATTCTTACAAGTCAGAGCACCTCTTAACTTACGCTGGCCATCTCAAGAGTCTGCAGATAAATGTTGAATTCTGATAGTATGCAGTCTTGGATGTCCCACATGAGCAGTGCCAACATAAGTTCTTGCATACTTCACAATCTGATTTAAGACTTCCTCTTGTGTTCCTGCTTTAGCACTGAAACACCGAAGTTAGGAGCATGAAAAGTTATGTACCCTAAGGAGCATACAAAAGTTGTCAACTTGTAGTCTGTTGAATCTCCAGATCAGTTTACAGCAGGGATTTTGGGTGATCATTAATGTGAACTGGAATGCTTAAGGCATCTCTACAGTGACATTTATAAGGCATCTCTGTAGTGATACCCCTTTCTGTCTGCCTAGATACTACTCCTCTGGTGTTTAATGCAGCAAAGATAAACTGCATTGCAGAAATGGACACATGAGCCTGTGGATAATGCAGCTCCATTCCTCAATTATGTACCTGAACTTTCAGCATGATCCTGGGCAATCTCCCATGACCTACTGAGCCTCTTCCTGTGTTGCCCAATCAGGAACCAAGGGGTGAATGTATTTATTTTCTTGGGTGCTGTTGACTCTTTGCTTTGGGGAAGTGGTAGCATGGGATAACAATGCACTTTCAAGCAACACTGAGTTTATAAATTCTGTCCTGTCGCACCCATGTTTGTGATTCATTTCTTATGTATTTTTAATAAAAGTATCTCTGGTACATGTGAACATTTTGTCTTTCCAAAGGGGGTTATATTTGTACTGTTATACTCCAGGCCATTTTTAAAAGCCAAGCACAGTGTTGATCCTAAGCACTCTTCAGAGCTCCTTAATGGCCTATAATGCTTCTAGCTGGAGTTTTCAGATAAATCAGTTACTGACAAAAACTGAAAAGCACCCAGTTTAGGTTGAATCATCCATAGGAGATGAAAAGAAAACTGTTTCTGATTGCCTAGTTGGGGACTGGGAGAACATAGGCCGCAAACATATGATGAAACATGGGCAGTCAAAAAGACCTAAGAGTATTTGCAGAAAACATACTAGAAACATCTGGGGAAGGATAGCAGATTTCTGAGCTAATGCTGGAAGCCAATGAGCCTAAATAATAGTATTGGAATGCCTTTTTTTCAAGGAAAACCTTGATACTGTGAACATTATAGAAACCTGGTAGAATAGAGAGAACTTGAGAGCTAAGATCATCTCCAGATAGAGGGGCCAGGGAGGATATACTAGAGGTATTTCTCTGTATGTCAAAAAGGCATTGTATCAACCAGACTAGAAAACCTAAAAAGGGCAGATTTCTTCACAGAAGGACTCTGGATGACCATATCAGGCTGCAGAAGTAAGCTACTGCTAGGAACATGGTGTGTCCTCCAGACCTGAATACAGGCAGGCATCTAAACAAGGAAGTGTCCTAACATGTCCTTCAAGACCAGTAGCACAAAGGGACTGCTAAACAGGTCAAGCCAGATCATGTCCCGAAACAAATACCTAGACTTAGGGACTGAAGCTGGTCAACCCTGTGTGAACAGAATGCTGAACTTTGATCTAACACAGTATGTCTTTTTCACATTCTTAAAGAGTCTTGAACTTGCCTGTTGCAGCTTGTTTCTTGGAGGCAATGATATATGACTGTTAGGATACAGTATCTATTCTAAGTAAACATGAGAACTCTTGTCACATTGACAATTTAAAAAATTGCTTAAATGGCCAGCCTGAGATCAGCTGACCGTTGTATTAACCAGGTGTCACTACCACTGCAGTCCTCATTGTCCATACTAAATTATTGGTTTGTATGGCTGACTTTTTAAAACTACAGTAGCGAATTTGTCACAGCATTTGCTATCTGGAGATACGGATTTATTTGAAAACAGAAAAGTAATTGCAGATAAAAATGTTTCAATTTCTAATTTCAAAGTGAACTGTCAAATACGTTTTTCTCCCTTAATGTCCAGGTAGACAATAGTTACTTGAGGCCTAAACTAAATTCCGGTTTTCTTAAGCAGACAATTGCAATACAGCGCCACCGTAACTGACATCATGGGAAGTTGCCATGTCTGCTGATATATTCAAAAAGGGCAATAGCTGCTTCCAGTGCAGAGTTAACTGCGTGCAAAATTTCCGTCAAGCTGTTCACCAGGCTCACAAACAAGTTGCTCAATTGAGTTAAATGTGTGGGCATCCACAGCCAAGCCGTTTTATTATCTTTTACAGTTTGGGCTTGATTTCTTTCCACGGTCCTACACATTCGGCATTATTTTTACTAAAACGATGCAGCGGCACAGTTGCAGAAAAGCAGTAGCTTTGGCACTGAGGACTGCAAAAAACAGTGCCCGTGAAAGTGCGGCTTTTCACCTTTCCCTTTGATTAGCCGTTACCAAATTCATGCTCGCACGTGCGTGCATACGAAAGCCAGAATGAGAAAACGAGGGGCCCGGGGGGTTACCAAGCGTGCGCCGACGCCAGCCGCAGCCCCGCCCCGGGGCGATCTCGTGGTCTCTCCCCGCCCCTGTTCAGTTGCGCTTGCGTGGCTATGGCGGCACACTGTTCGGTGGTGGAGGCGGCTGTGGCGGGACCGGAGGAGCTGGTATGCGAGCAGGGCCGGAACCGCAAGGCCGTGCTGTGTCAGCGCTGCGGCTCTCGCGTCCTTTTGCCTGGGGCCGCCACCTTTACCCGCAGAGAGGTAGGCAGCGCTAGAAGTGTTGTATCACTCCCTGGCTTCTGCGTGCTGCAGAAACTGGTAGTCAAAGCGGTGCGTTCGCGGAGCAGGGAGTGTTCCTTTTCTGCCGGGTTAGCTCTTAGAACGATCCCCTCTCTCAAGAGGCTTAATGCGGATTCAGCGTGGTGCAGAGGTGCTGCAAGCCTTCCCCAACTGCAAGCCTCGGGATGTCCTGGATCACAGCTCCCGCCCAGCACACGAGCGGGGCGCTGAGTTGAAAAGGCTGGGCTCGAGTGTCAGGGCGCGCGAGGCACCCGGGTCTGAGTACCAGTTTGTTTGTTTGTTTGTTTGTTTGTTTGTTTAGAAAATTTCTATGCCGCCCCATTCGCCGAAGCCTCGGGGCGGCTCACAAAACATTAAAATATAATACATTAAAAATATAAAACGAATTAACAATATAAAATAAGTCGCCCTGGCCAAAGAATAAAATAAGGAAATAATATTAGCAATTAAAATGACGTTTGAATAAAAAGGTCTTCGCCTGGCGCCGAAAAACAAATAACGACGGCGCCAGGCGGACCTCTCTGGGGAGCGCATTCCATAGATTGGACGCCACCGCAGAGAAGGCCCTCCTCTGAGTACTTACCCTCCTAATATCCTTCACGGAGGGTTCCCGGAGGAGGGCCTCTGCCACAGATCTCAGGGGGCGGGTGGGCGTATATGGATGTAAGCGCTCCTTGAGGTTAGCTGTGATGGTGACTGCGACTGTCTCTCAGCTTCACCTAAACTTCACAGGATTGTTCTGGAGTGGGAGAACCAGATAAACTGCACAACTTCCTGGAAGGAAAGGCGGGATATAAATGGAAATAATTGTTTTGAGGATGAGAGGTTTTCTTTTGGTGTATACACTCTCTTCCCAGAAAGCCTTTTCCTCCCGTGCCTGGGCTTTATTTGTAGCTACTGAATAGGGTGAGTGAATGCTTAGAAGCACATCATCAAGTATTGTCTGTTCCGCACTGTCTGTAACAGACTCCTGGCCTTAAAAGCCAGTTGTGGAAGTGAGCCATGCCTCATTATTTATACCATCATTTATTCCAGGAATCTCATGATGTTTACAAAAATTAAAACTACAAAACAGTTACAATTAGAAACTCCATAGTACCAGTACCTGATATAAAATAAAATTGTTAAAAATACTATCAACAGTGTAAAAACTGGGAAAATTGGCCTGGCACCGAAATAAATAAAGTGTCAGTGCCAGGTATACCTCTCTGGGGAGCATGTGCCACAATTGGGGCTCAGTAGCAGAAAAGGCTCTTTTCCTCGTAATGGCCCTCCTCGCCTTCAAGGAGAGCTCTCGGAGAAGGACACCCACAGATTTTCTTAAGGTCCCAAAAAGGCTCATATGGAAGGAGACGTTCCTTTAGATATCCAGGCCCTAAACCATTTAAGACTTTTATATGTCCATCATCAGCACCTTAAATTAAGTTTTCAGTATATTGGTTAGGCATCCCAAAACCTAGAATTTCAATGCCTAGCTTTACATAAGTATTTAAGCAATAATGAGGGAGAAAGGCATTCTGCATATACATGTGTCTACATAAGTATTTTGCCAGCAGCTTCTTGCCCCAGTTTTGTGTTTAGAAAATGCTAGAGAGTCCCCCAGACTTTCTTCAGATTATGCTGGGTGTGTTGTGGCTTTCACAATACCAGCTAAAGTCTTGCTTTTCTTGTCACTTGACAGCTTTTTCTTCCTGCCATGAAGAAGAAGACAGCACTAGTGGGTGACAATGATCTGGAAGGGGATGTCCTACAGGACCACTGGCTTGTTGATGACATGTTTTCTTTTGAAAATGTTGGGTTCACCAAGGATGTTGGAAACATAAAGTTCTTAATCTGTGCAGACTGTGAAATTGGTCCTATTGGCTGGCACTGCTTGGATGATAAGAAGAGTTTCTATGTCGCCTTGGACCGAGTGTCTCATGAATGACATGCAGATTGGTGACCAAAAGACTCAGGAGCTCCTGTCAAGCCTGCTAGGCCATCCTAAGATACCCAGTGAACTTACGTCAACTTTGTAATGTCAAAATGCACCCTTGAAAATAGCATTGGTATGGTGCATCAGAAGAAATATCTGTTTATATTGCTTGTTAACTCGCCTTCTGATTTAAGTGTTGCCATGACTCCTGGTCCTGTATCATCCCTTGCAGATTGATATGAATATATTTTGAAACAAAGGCCATTCTATGCAAACTGGTGGATCGCCTTGTTTAAATATTGAGTAAAAGATACACTGAACTGTTTGTCCTCTGAGAAATTACTATATAATGCTATTGGGAATAAGCTTTCTAGACATTTTTTCCAGCATCATAAGGAGATTTAAGGTTTTCTTATGTATCTTGGACCAAAGGATGGCATACTTTTGATTTTAATGTTTACAGGCATGGTGGCTTTATCTGTCCATTTCCACTTTATGGGGATAATCTGTTATTGAAAGCCAGGTCCTAGTTTCAGAAGAACATGTTAAGTGGGGGAAGGTAAGTTTTGAGGGTAGGGGAAAAAGGCGTTTTAGAACTGTAAAAAGGTAATTCCACTGGAAACTCTTTATGAATATTTGTATTTAATTAAACTTAAACCAAGCTTCTCCGTTTGTGTATTGTGATCTTTCTATAATAGGTTGCCGGGGGGGCTCAACCTAGTGAATTTTGACTAATTAGAATAATTTAGCAAATTTGAAAGGCTTGTTTCAGTAGGACATAGTTATTCTTTTCTGCATGAACATTTCCCATTTTAGCCATTTTATTCCCAGTGATAAACCACCAGATCTAGGGAACAAAATGCTAATGTTAAAGCAAAATGGATTTTTCGATATACTTTATACATCAGTATACCTCCTTTTGGGACAATGTGTTGGAAAGGACAGTAGCCTCTCAGCTCCAAGTAGTTTTGGCTGCAATTATTTGGATCCATCACAGTCAAGTTTCCATCTAGTTTTAGGCAGAGACAGCTTTGATCACCCCAGTGAATGACTTAACATTGTAAACTAAATGATGGGGCTATAGCTCTCTTGGTTTTGCAGGGCCTCTCAGAAATTTTTGACCACGGAATCCTTCTGTCCCACCTCTGACCTGAGCTTTGGAGGCATAGTGTTACAGTGGTTCTGATCTGTTTTGGATTGTCATTCCTTGAATTTAGTTCTGGGTGAATTCTGTTTCACCTCCATGGACTCTGACTTGTGGGAGGTCTCATGGTTCCATCTTATCCTTGATGCTGTTCAGTATATGTACAAAGCCTCTGGGATAAGGCATCCAGAGATTTGGGCGGCATTGTCATTCAGGGAATGATGATAAGTAGCTGTACCTCTCTTCTCCATCAATGAATCACAGGGAGGCTGTGGAGCAGGTTCCTAGCTAAGGTTTTAGAATTGACAGAAAGGAGCTTGAAACATAGTCCAGGTAAGATGAAGGTATCATGAGGTAGGAGGTCTGTTGATCTGCATAGAGGAGCTAAATCCAGTTCTGGGTGGGTTGCATTTCCCTGAAAGGTGAGGTATGCAGCTAGGGATGCTCTTGGACTTGGCATTGTCTGGAGTAGCACAAGTAGAGGTTGACAATGCCTTTTACCAGTTCGGGCTTTGATGTCCTCACAGCTCTCCAAAGTAGCAAGACTTGCTCTTGGTTATCCATGCTCTTGGATTTCTATGCAATGTGCTCTACATGGGGCTGACTTCAGGAACAGCCTAGAAACTTCAATTGATGCAAAATGTGTTTGCCTGGATGTGTAACACCATTCTTATGCAAGTTGCACTAGTTCCCAGTACGTTTCTGGGACCTATTCAGAGTGGTTGTATTAATACTTAAAGACCCTAAATAGTTTGAGACCAGGTTATTATATGATTATCTGCACCCACCTGTAATCTAAGATTTGTGTCACAGGTCCCACTTGTGTGCTTGCTGGAATTTTTTTTTTTCCACAAGATGGCCTTGGTAATGGCCATGTGGAACTCTGTCCCAATTGCTAGTTGGTTACCCCACTGTTCTCATTTTCAAAAAGGCCTTAAAAATCTGTGTTGTTATTGCACTTGCTTGGTGAATCCCTTGATTTAAAGGAATTTCTGGTGCATATGTTTTGTTGTGTTATCTATAGGTTTACTTTTTCTGCTTATTCCATTTTTGTTTAGCTGTATTTATGTGTATGTACAAACGCACACACATTCTTTGTAAGGGCATGACCCTGAAAGTAACTAACAATTGAAATAAATAAAAATGTATCAGGGCTCCAATCTTGGACCTATTTACTTAGGAGAAGGCCTTATTAAATTCAGTGGATTTATTTCTACATATACATGCATAGATTGCACTGTAAATGTGTATCTCACCGGTGTTGTGGAAATGAGTATTGTGTGCAATAACTTTGAAAAATGGCTTAGTAATAAAAATGATCAAATAATAAAAAGCAATGGAAATACAGAGCAGAAAGACCATTTGTAAACAAGACCTGCAAAGCACTGCTAGAGGATTGCATGAAGAAAAATATTCTGCAACCTTTTCCTCAGGTCAAAATATTTAGTCTGCAATGAACATATGTATGTATTAATAAGGTGGAGTCAATGAGGATGCCAGAGCAACCGCACCTTCCAATGCGCAACATTGAGAGTGCATGGCCCTGTCAGAGGGCAGCATCTATATCACATCACTGGAGTTTGCAGCAAGAGCCAAGCTCTGGGATAAAGACTTGCAGAAACCAGACTCTGGAGCCAAGTATTGGTCTCTTCTGTAGGCAGTATAAGTGGCAGTAGGTGGCTGAACAGCTTGTGTCTTTGTTTAATTTTTGTTTCTGTGTGTGAAAGGGCAAGGAGCAGCCTGCAAGCTCAGCAGCCAACTAAAATGCATTGAGTCTACTATCACCAAGAGATCAGAAGGTAGGAATAGTTTTTTTTTACAGTATTGTTTTAAAACTTGAATATAGCTCAGATTCTGCAAATTGGTTTTTAGGACTTAAGTGAAACTTAGCTCTGTATATTAATTTTTTGGACTAAGTTCTAAATTTTTAAAGCTTGAATGTTTAAAGCTCTAGCCTTTGTAAATTTAAGTTTTACGTGTTTAGGCTCTGGAAATCAGGTTTAAAGTTTGGTTACAGCTCTCAACTCTGTAAATTAATTTTCAAGGCATGGATGCAGGCTAAGTCAAGACTACCTCAATGTGGAGTTCAAGTACTCCTTCCCTTTGCTACAGCTTTCTTATCTGAAAATTAATGTCCATATTACACTGCAGAGAAAATAAAACACAGAAATAGACTTAATGCTGCATCGGACATGAGGAACCAACGTTCCAACATCATTCCCAATATTAAGCAGATTTGTTAACAAAAGATGCAAAAACTATCTTCCCATTTTACCCCCTCCCACAAAATGTGTGCCTCCCATGAAATAATTAACAGAAGTTTTTTGTTACTTCCAGTACTTTTCTATAAGACATTTATGAAAACAAAAAATAAAAATGTATTTCTATATTTTGTTTTGCATTTATTTTTCAGAATAATATTTTAGGAAGAATAAGTCTTCCCTAACCAAATAGTTTATCCTTCTTTTCTACACGACAATACTTACTAACCATTCTTTTAACTGTCACATTGATATTTTGTTATGGTTTTCTACTTTTAACATTTATACTTTGGGTTAGTAGCTGTCCTCCAACAGAAGAATAGTTGTTCCTTCAGATCACTATTTTTGTTCTGTGTTCTTTATTCATAGTAAAATATAAAACATCACCCCCAAAACTAGTATGTTTAAACACTCAAATTAAAAAGGATATGCTATTTTCGCTATTATATGAAAAAATGTTATTTTCACTGGCATTTTTTCAGTATAAATATGAAGTAAGTTCTACTTTGCTCCAAAACGTATCCAGTCTCACCTTTTATCCCCCAGTCCACCACCTCCTACCCGCATTTAAGAATTCCATCAATGTGTTTCAAGCCAAGTGTTCTGTAGCTAAATCAGTTTGTGAAACACTAGTCTAAATCCGGGGAGCCAACTTATGGCACTAGAACCACAGGCAGAAGAGTTGGTAACATACTGCAGGCTTGCTGATAGCATAATAAAGCACATGCCCCAGTCTGTTCTCTGGCACTGCACTGCTGCCTACTCTGGGAAGGCAACTCTTTTCAAAGAGATTGGAATCTATCTGTGCTGGAGTGTAACTGGCCTTTGGCAAGGAGTGATCTCATTTTTGGACTTGCTTGCTCATCACTGACTTTTCATAGTGCTACTCAGATGCACCTTTATTACATGTCCTGGAAGGATTTAGGGCCATGTGTCTGCCTTGTTCATCTGTAAAGTGGGAACTCAGCCCTCCTGTAACACAGACACATTAGATCTGGTCTAGACAATGAAGAATAAAACTTTGCACTTGCTGGGGTAAATCTCAAATGCCCTGGACAGTAAAATCCCTGGAAAGGAACTTTCATTTGTCTTGTAAAAGTACCTGATGATATTTCCATTTCAAATGTCCACCTCATGGTGGCACCACCATTCAAGCAATGCAACGTTTCTTTGGTGAGGATCCAGTGTGGCCCTTCAAAATAATATTCTCCCATACCACTCTAAAAAATATATTCAATGTTTTTCTGTCTGGATTGACTACTGGTCTCCAGTTATATATAAAGGAACACAAAGGCCTAAATTCACATCCTGACTATTTCTACATTTTGCTGATTCAGTGAAAGTTGCAACTAACTGAACAAGTGCATCACCAGTATTAAATAGGCTTCTTAGCAGAAGGTCTCATCACGTTCCTATTGAGGCCATATGCAATCTGTTCCTATATAAACTACATTATATATTTTAATATATGAATTATAATAAGGGGACAGTCCTCTAGGGAAGACTGTAAGCTTCTGAACTGTAAGCATTCAGTGTGTTAGAGGAGCAGAATCCAAGTGTGGATCTTACCTCCAAGGTTAAAGTGTTTTTCTCATCTCAGAATTGATAATCTGAACAATCCTATGGCTATCTAGACTCTCTCTATTAGCCATAGGATTGCTCTGTCCATTAATTATGATTTTAAAAAACACTTGGTATCAAGTACAAAGAACAAACTACTTTACAACAAAAGGCAAGATTACAACTAAACCTAAAAGCTATGATGATGGAGATGATGCATGGCAATATTTATACACTTCCTGAAAAAAATCCTCAAGCAGATTGCCAGATATAAACACATAAAACAAACCAGACCACATACAGAGGCACACTAATTGTACCATGAGGCTGGTATAAAGATAGCTCATGGCTGGGGAAAAGCCAAATCAAATAGACTTTTATAGTCCTTACAAAATATTTCCAATAAAACCAGTTGTGCAATGGAGCCCTGATCACAGTTCAACCAATAGAAAGTATTTTATTTATCTGTTTCAGTCCAAGAGCTAGAAATATTAAGAGCTTCACTGAAGTATACCAGGAAATGGACTGCCACGTCAGCCATTGAAGCACAAACATATTTCCCCTGTTAAGGCTACCTGAGGCAACACCTTCCTGTGATGGAACAAAGGTTTCTGGTATCCAGGGCAGGCTACTGTTTCATATTAGGTGAAGAACAGGATTTTGTGGGAAACAATATGCTAAGTGCCAGAAACTCCTTGCCT